TGCCATAAAGTCAAAGCTTCTCTAAAGCAATCTGCTATTTTTTTTTTCCAGAAAATGTACATAAGCTAAAGAAAAAAAAATCAGTAAATTTCAAATGCTTCTATGCCATAAAGTCAAAGCTTCTCTAAAGCAATCTGCTATTTTTTTTTTCCAGAAAATGACATAAGCTAAAGAAAAAAAAAATCAGTAAATTTCAAATGCTGAAGTATCAGTTGAAAATTAAAAAAAAAAAAAAATTGCAGCTTTTGGCAAAAATATAATGTTTTCAATGAAAAAAGAACATATTTATCTCTGGAAAATAAATACTGCTCACATTTTACCACAATCTCTGCTTTTCCACAGAAAATCAGGCTTGAGTTAACTTTCACAAAAAAATTGCACTTCCTTTCTTTCTTATTTTTCCTACTTGCCAAGACATTCAACAAAGTCTGGATCCCATCCCCATTCTTCAGCTGCAGCTCCCGCTGGTATCAACAGCAACATTGTAAGCTGGGAGGAAGCCTGGGACCAGGTTTCGACAGAGACGGGGCTGCCGTACCTGGGGTCGGCTGCAAACCAGCAAGCTGAAGCTTTTGCATCCCACAGCGCTCCCGTCTCCTGCAGCCTCTGTTGGCCTGAGAGCTGAAGAGGTGCTCAAGCTGAAACCAATGCTCCCTTTGAAACCATGGAGACTTCAAACTCAGCTGGGGCAAATCAGTATGGCTGGGGGCTGCTTCAAATACCGAGGCTGCTCTCAGCCACCTGAGGACTTGGCATTAAGTACAGCCCACTAGGAAACCTGCTTTTCTCTTCCTCCTGAGCTGGCTATGAGAAAGGAATTCTAGAGAAACAGGATGGGCTATAACAATTTTCATAGAGAAAGTCATAGAAAGTGGGCAGCTGCCGACAGCGACAGGTTGCTCTTGGTGTTATCTGTTTTACCAGGGAAAGCTGAGTGTGCTGCTGCTGCTGCTCCCGGTGTGGAGGACAGGAGCTGGGAGGCAAAAATAACTGAAATCACCAGGCTCGCTCCTTCTGCCAGCCGGTGACAGCGGAGGCCACGAGCCCGGCTCTGGGATGGCAAAGCTCTGCTCTGCCCACGTGGCTGCAGAGGTTTGAGGCAGTACCATGTAAAAGCTGTTACATAAAGGCAAGTCAGCTTTCATACAGCAATGTGTGCAGGTGGTTTCATCTGCAAAAACCTCAGCTGCTTCTATCTGCCTTTGCCAAGACAGCTTTGTGCCAGGAGACCAACAAAATGAATCAGATCAGTGAATATACCTTGTGGTCTAATTTCAAGAATATATGTTGGTGAATGGGGCTTGCATTAAAACTCAGTTTCTTGAACCAGAAATTTATGCTGCGGGAGAGAACATGAGCCAAACAACAGTTCTGGACCATACCAAGCCAAAAATTTTCCCTCCAGGACAAAAACACGAAGCCACAAAAGCACACAAGGGACAAACCCAAAATGCAGTAAAGGATGCTGCAGGAGTGCCGCCTTTCCCCAGGAACATGCTGGGAGGGAGAGGCTGTCCCCTGCC